AAGTTTTGCTTCTCTTTCTGAAGCTACCTGTTATTCGTTCTCGTGTGACTCTTTTCTGAGCGTGCGTATTGGATTGTGTTGATGGGTGTATCTATCGCTTCCAGTCTCATGCTCTAAGCTGTATTGCCGTACAGTTCTTTTCTCTATACTCTGATCAGCGTAGCAACCGTAAGTGCAATTGTACATTTGTTGGTGGCTGCGTCGATGACCTTTTTCTGATAGATTGGTTAAGTTTGATAGATCGGTTAAGTTGTGTGGATCGGTTTGATGGTATAGGTTGGTGTATCGATCGAATGAGATTAGTCGGGTAGATTCTGTAGTCCGGTGTTATCGATCTGGTTCATCGGGTTTTCGAGGAGGATTTATCTTATCCATATCGTCGGTCCCTTCCGTTGAACTGTTGGTTACTCGACATCATGAGGATCCTTCTTCGTGCTGCTTTTCTCGTTGGTAATTACGACTCCCCGGATCTGATTCGGTTCATTGTTTACTATGATGATGCAACCAGGGCAGTTAGAATCATGGTACATTACGATTAGGTTCTCTAATTCTTAGTCTTGCCAGGTGTTTGGATCTCGGGATATTTTCGGGTTGATCTATCTTTTTACCCTTGATTGTCAGTTTGCATCTTCTCTCTGCTTTTCGTTTTTCGCCATGGGAACTCCTTTGAAGTGTTTTCAGTGCGGGGGGGAGGGCCATTTCGTGAGGGAATGCCCTAGTAGTAGGAACACAAACGGGGGCAATGCTGGTATTGGCAATAGTGCATCAGCTCCGTCGACCCCTAAGTATTGGACGCCTCGGAGGAACGTTGGCGACGACCAGGAAGAAAAGGAGTTCCTGCGGGAACTTGTTAATGAAAGGAGGGAGGAGAAGGCGAGAAAGAAAGAGTTGGAGGACCAGAAGAGGTTTGACGAGCGACTTAGGATTGAGATGGCGAAGTTTTATGAGGCCACGAAAGCGGAGGTGATGGCGGCAGTCGGTAGACAGTATCTCACCGCGAACGAGGAGGCGAGGAGAGAGGAACAACGGCGGGGGTGGTCCCCTCCTCCGAGGAGGAGAGAAGATTTCAGAAGTCGCGATGAATCTGATATGGATGTCGACGATTTGGAAGCAGAGATTCGGCGCCTCGCTGCTCTCCGTGATAGGAAGCGCAAAGGGAAGGAGGCAGTTCGACCGGAGGGGAATTTCAGACAGCCGTCGTTTATGGCGAATGAGGGAACTGATGGTTCTAAGAGGGAGAGAGAAAAGGGTGAATTCTCCTCCCAAGGAGGAGAAAGGAGGAAGAAGAAGATCCCCGCTGGCTTAGGTCCGGAGGGTCTGCTACAGTTCGTGCTCGATCAGAAGAGAGAGCTGTCCGGATTAAAGCAGGATGAACTCAAGAGAATTTGCTCACGGGAAGGACTGAGGTATTGCACAAAGGGGCCTTCCATTGATCAGATAATCGAAGCCAGAACGAAGCTCGCATATGAAAGCTTTGTCTTTTCACCTGCTCCATCTGCCCCAGGGTCGCCAGAGGTAGACCAGGCACCTTCCGAATGACTACACATGTATGCAGTTGGGAGGCTATGGCATAGTCTTTTGCGGATGATGAGTCTTCGAACGCGTGCTTTCTCGAAAGAAGGATCTGGTTCGGGGAGATTGGTCTTCGACAGATGTGTTTCTCTTTGTTTTGTGGCTTTTGTTTTGCAGGGCGAAATCAAGTGGGCTTCGAAGTTCGAGAGGCTGTTGTGTTCTGTCAATTGGGAGACCTGGGACAAAGGGCCGGTGGCTTATCTCCTGACGTCACCCTGGTGCAAAGCACAGTACGTCGGTAGTACTGTTCGTGGGATTTTCATCCGATGGGGAGAACATATCCGTACTACGATCTCTAATGGGTTGGGGGTCTGCCCCAAACTTTATCGATGGTTGCGTTTCTTTGGGATCTGGAAGTATGTCGCTATTCCCCTAGCTAACGGTCTGGTGTCAGTAGACAAAGCTGAACTTGCGATTATTAGACAATTTTCACCCGTGCTTAACACCAAGAAGAGGAGACGTGGGAAAAGATTCGGGATCCGGCCATCGCGTAGGAAACGCTTGGGTAATGTTCCTGCTATCTTGAATAAGGGTGCGATCCTGAGGTTTAGGACACAAAATGGCGTTTGGGAAGACAGTCTGTGTCGACTACTCGGCGATTTGCTCGCAAAGAAGGTTAGATCAGTGGTAATCGAATGCCTGCCCGGTGATATTTGGGTTCACAAGTGGTCTTTGGTTAGGAGGTTGTTTGGTACTATTTTTGTGTCTGTTTTTTTGGGGAAATACTATGTCAAGGAAGGGAAACGGTTTTTCGAATCTGGTGGTACTTTTGCCTTTAGTCCGATTGTGCTCACCCCTACAGGGAGGGCGATCCACAAGGGTGAACTGCGTCTGCCTTTGGACCAACCATGGCGTCGAAAGGATCTGCCTAAATATGGTTTGACCACCCTTATGAGATGGTTTAGGACTGCTAGAGAGTTCTCCCAGAAGGAGACTCGTTCACATCTGAAGGCGATCGTCGCTAGAGAAGTGAAGAATCGCATCGGTTATGACATCCGGAAACGGATTACGATCAGGGTTCATTTTGACCACAGACTCTCGCCATCTTGTGTTCATGCATTGGCTATGACCATTCTGAGTTCTTCAGCCTTTCCTGAGTTAATCCGTAATTTTCTCTCACACCGCATTCGATTCGTATGGAAGAAGAACCGGTCTGTGGGAGATTTTGTGCATAACTTTAGGCAACGTGCTAGGAATCCTAGTGATTCTTGTCTTTGCTTTGTCTTGGAATTCGGATGGGTAAGGCGGGGTATGCATGTGATGACGAGGATAGGTGATATTCCGGGTATACCAGAGTTGTTTCGCAACTCTAGGAATATCCTTTGTTCGGTTGGTAACCAAGGTGTGCTGGAGTTGGGATCGCAATTAGTTTTCGTTTGTAAGGCCACGAAATCCTCTTTCGAGGTGTCTAGATTAGAGTTGCTCGGCTGCTGGGACAACCCGGATACACAGATTTTAAGTTTGGATTTGAACCTTCTCTTGTGGATTGACCGGCTGAGGAAGCTTACTTGTGTCCCCATCGACAGGAACATTGCTGATACGCTAGTGATCTGTCCTTTACTGTATCACCACTATCAACGCATGACTTTTGATTGGAATGTTTCCTTTGTGATTGAAGAACGGCCCGAGCATCAAATCCTGCCGAGTATGAAGGGGTCCTTTGTGACTCTAAGATTGGACAAGGTAGGGAGATTGGATCCTAACGGGAGCTTTGGGAAAACTTTTGTCCTTCCCAAACACAAGGATCTCACAACGTGGAGACCCATTTCGCCCACCTGTACCGAGCCTACTAGACTTGCATCTTGAAGAGTGGCTAAGGCTATGAATTGTCTCCTGTTCAGACTTCCTTGGGCTTCAAATTTTAATCTAAAGGCTGTTGATGATTTTGCAGTAGGACTTAGGCAAATGGATTTGAAACTGTCAGAGCAACGAGATGTCTTTGATTTGCGTTCTGCATCCTTTGATATTAAAGACATGTTTGTTTCCTTGCCCCATTCGGATATCCTTGGCGCTGTAGATTGGCTGTTGGGTTATTACATCTAACGAGGTTATGAGGGGGTGGTTGTTACTAGTAAAGGTAGGCTATCCTTTCTCTCCTTTGGGTCCAAGAGGGAAGGTTGTCATTTCGTTAGTGATAGTACTATCCGGGACATGGTCTGTTTTGAGTTGGATTTTGCCCTCGTCTGGTCTGGACGATGTCTTCTCAAGCAAGTGATCGGCGTACCCATGGGTAAGTCGACGAGTTGCTCTTTGGCTTACATATTATGTGCTTGGGCGGAGTTCCAATTTCTCTCTTCGTTGGGGAGGGATAGGAATTTGGTTTTTGGATTTCGGATAGGTGACGATGTTTCGGTCTTCGTTGCAGTCACTTTGCAATGAGGTTATGTCAGGGCGGATGAAATTATGAGCCTATTCTCTAAGTGCTATGGGCAGGTTCTTAGGTTGGAGAGGACAGACAACGGTTTGGATAACTGGGACTTCGCAGGAATGCATTTGCAGAGATTGGGTGTTTCGGTCAGATCGGTGGCGATGGTTAAGAACTCGGAGTCCTTATGGTCCTCAGGGAGTTTGATTTTTGGCTCGTTCCAGGATTTTCAATCATACGGGTCCAAACAGGCACAAATTGGAGCTATAATGAGTTCGCTCTATCGAGTTCACCGTTGGTCATCTGATGCCTTTGGTAGAATGCAGGCATTCCTAGCTATCCGAATGGAGCTTTTGCTAAGAACGTATCCACCCAAGCTAATAACTATGGTTTTTAAGCGATTTGCAGGAAGAGTTAGCTCCCCAGAAGGACGTCATTTATAGGATGGTTGGACCAGTCTCGTGAGGTTTTTCGGGGTGTTTGGTGCCATTGCCAAACTGACTCCTTCTCGGGTCCCTTTTTTTGCTCTTAGGAGGGGTAAGTCTATCCTTTTGCTCAAGCTTGTTTTTGTTTTTTCCGTTCGATTTTGGGGCCCGACGTGGCTATGAGAGTCCTTTCACATTTTGCAGGTTCTGGTCCACCGACGGTGTTCAGAGTTTTTTGTGCCGGCACCAAGCCCAGGCACGTACTTTTGATTCCCACCCTCCGATTGATGGATCGGATGGGTTGTGCGTCTGATGTACTCTGGTCCCCGATGACAATCTGCTCTGGCTTCGGTGTACTTTTTACGATGTACCTCTTGCTGTCCTCAGACAACTGTATATTAGGCGGTGTTCCGCTCTCTTTACCCTCTCATTTCACGCTCTGGCAAGATCGGAATTTTGATGGGAGAGCAGTTTGGAGGTGCTCTAAGCTCATCTGCCATCGTCGGGGAACCTTTACTCTGTTGGTTGCGTCTTGCCGAGGACGAGCATCCGGCCTAGGAGGCGCTAATGCTCCTTCTTATCTCCGATGGTACTCTGGATGCATTAGC